GCCAAGGCCTGTGGCTCACAATAGGTCCTCCTAGGGGAGGCCCCAAAAATGGATACTGGTGTCGTAAATATTACCTTCTTTCAGTAAATTGTGATTGGTGGAAGAATATCTCCAACTTATGCTTTGCTGTTGGATATTTATTCTCCATTTCATTGTTCAAGTTGCGATAATACTGAAAATGCTATGGGCAGTGTGTATTTTATTTAACATCATATCTCCCAGAGTTTAAAATAGTGAAACGAGAATAAATATCCAACAGCAAAGCATAAGTTGGGGTGTTGTGCTGACTGATTGCTCTGTTCTCCTATTGGCTGTAATTTTATGACGTCACATCTTACTCCACCAATCACGCTTAAGTAAGGGATTACTGGACGAATGCAAAATGTACGACAAAAATATGAAGTTCTTGGGGTAAAGCTGCATGTGGAAGGGCCCCTGGGGGCGCCGTCGCCCCTGGCAGAGACCCTGCCGCCCCTGGAAAGACACCCACTGCCACTAGGAGGGCGCCACTGCTCCCAGGGACCCTGCCAAGGCCTGTGGCTCACAATAGGTCCTCCTAGGGGAGGCGGCGCCCCCAAAAAATGGATAATGGTGTCGTACATATTGCATTCTTTCAGTAATCTCTTACTTAACTGTGATTAGTGGAATAAGAGGTAACGTCATCAAATTAAAGCCAATAGGAAAACAGAGCAACCAGTCAGCACAACACCCCAACTTATGCTTTGCTGTTGGATATTTATTCTCCATTTCATTGTTCAAGTTGCGATAATACTGAAAATGCTATGGGCAGTGTGTATTTTATTTAACATCATATCTCCCAGAGTTTTAAATAGTGAAACGAGAATAAATATCCAACAGCAAAGCATAAGTTGGGGTGTTGTGCTGACTGATTGCTCTGTTCTCCTATTGGCTGTAATTTTATGACGTCACATCTTACTCCACCAATCACGTTTAAGTAAGGGATTACTGGACGAATGCAAAATGTACGACAAAAATATGAAGTTCTTGGGGTAAAGCTGCATGTGGAAGGGCCCCTGGGGGCGCCGTCGCCCCTGGCAGAGATCCTGCCGCCCCTGGAAAGACACCCACTGCCACTAGGAGGGCGCCACTGCCCCAGGGACCCTGCCAACGCCTGTGGCTCACAATAGGTCCTCCTAGGGGAGGCGGCGCCCCAAAAAAATGGATACTGGTGTCGTAAATATTGCATTCTTTCAGTAATCTCTTACTTAACTGTGATTGGTGGAATAAGAGGTAACGTCATCAAATTACAGCCAATAGGAAAACAGAGCAACCAGTCAGCACAACACCCCAACTTATGCTTTGCTGTTGGATATTTATTCTCCTTTTCATTGTTCAGGTTGCGATAATACTGAAAATGCTATGAGCACTGTCGTCCCTGGGTATGCACCTGGAAGCGCCGCTATCCCTGAAAGGCTCCCCGGGAGACCCAGTGGTCCTGACAACGCTCCTGGCTGTGCCACCGCCCCTGACAGGGCCCCTGGGGGCGCCGCCTTTCCTGGGAGGGCGCCTGGGAGCGCCGCTCTCCCTGGGAGAGCTCCTGGGATCTCTGCCGTCCCGTGGAGGGCCCCTGAGAGCGCCGCTGTCTTTGGCATGGTCCCTGGGGGCACCACAACCCCTGAGATGGCCCCTGGGAGCATCAATGTCCGTGAAAGAGCCCCTGTGGGTACCGCCGTCCCTGGGGGGGCCTGGGAAAGCCCCTGGGGGCACCAGTAGCCCTGGTAGGGCCCCTGATGGCACCGACGTCCCTAGGACGGCCTCTGGGAGCGCTGCTGTCCTTGGCAGGGATCCTGCCACCCCTGGGTAGGCCTCCGCCTCCCCTAGGAAGGCTCCTGAGGGTCACCGCCTTCCCTAGGAGAGCTCCTGAGAGCACCGGTATCCCTGGGAGAGACCCTGGCGGTGCCACCGCTACTGTGGGCGCCACAGCTTTTGGGAGTGCCCCTGAGGGCCTGCTGTCCCTGAGAGGGTCCCGGGGTGCATCGTCGCCCCTGGGGGTAGTTGTTTTTGCACTATTTAAAACTCTGGTAGATATGACGTTAAACCGCCCATCACATTTCCAGTATTATTGCATCCTGAACAATGAAAAGTTGACTAAATATCCAACAGGAAAACATAAGTTGGGGTGTTATGCTGACTGACTGCTCTGTTCTCCTATTGGCTGCAATTTGGTGGATTTACATTTCAGTCCACCAATCATAGACAAGTAAGGGATTGCTGGACGTATGCACTATGTACGACACCAAGATCAAGCAAGCTATAGGGCTCCTGGGAGGGGAAGCCCCTGGTAGGTCCTCTGGGAGCGCCGCTGTCCTAGAGAGGGACCCTGACAGCACCAGTGCCTCTGGGACGGGCCCTATTGATGCCACCACCCCTGGGTGAGCACCCGGGGTTCTTCTGTCCCTAAGGAGGGCCCCTAGGGGGTGCTTGTATCCCTAAAGAGGGCCCCTAGTAGATAAGGTAGATAAAGCATAGTAGATAAAAAAGAGTAGATATGGTAGATAAAAGAAAGTAGATACGGAAGAGTAGTTAAGGTAGATAAAGTTGAGTAGATGAGGTAGATAAAGTTCATTTCCGAGGAGTTTTTCGCTTTGGCGAGAGGTTGGACGGGGTGGGGTAGCTTTAGTACCCCCCCCCTTTTTTTATATTCTCAAACACTCCCTTGAGCACTAACTTACCCACTGAGATGAACGAATCTAACCTAACCTAACCTCAACTCAACTCATAGTTGGTTACATTATGTAAAAGTGACTTTTGCATAGTTCACCGAGTGAGATGAGGTTTGGTTCAAAGATACTCTACTCAAGATAGGAGAGCTACAGCTAAAATATATGAAATGTGTGTACGGCATAGTTGCCAGACAACTTAATTATAGCACCATCTATTGGCTGCGTCCAAAAGCTATTTGTTACGTCATAGACGTTGATGTGACGTCATGAGTGATAGTTTTTTACGTTTTCCATTTATTTTAGACATATCAATCTTCATTTATGTATGCATGTATGTATACATATAAAGAGAGAATGAAAACCTTACTGTATAATTTTCACTGACTCCATTGCCTCAAGATCTTAGATGAGTTCAAAAATTAAAATACACAAAATCTTTTCTCTTGCACAATTCTCATACAATTACTGCACGTGATGAATCACCTGTCATGCCGTTACATAAATTTGGGGAATAAATGACCTTGTTTTCAGTAGAGTTCTTGGCTATTAAAAGACATTCTTGTTGTTTATATTTATTGAAATAAACAAACACAAAACCAAACATTCAAGTTGTCTTGGTTACTAATGTATTATAATATTTAATCTAACATGATACATGTAAATATTAACATTACCAATAAATTAACATTAATTATTATTAAATCATGCACTATATATATATATATATATATATATATATATATATATATATTTCTATGTAGATCCACAATGAAAACGTGGATAAGATCAATCTTTATATATATATATATATATATATATATAATTTTTTTTTTTTTTTTTTTTAGTGTTTATTTATTTATACAGATATACATATACTGTGTATACATTATAATAAAGAAATGTGTAGTACAGTAGGTATACATTCAAACTATGAAATGTATTTTTTTAATTGCACTCTTACTGTATATTAGAAATAGTGTTAATTTTACCTATCTTTACTGATCTGAGGTATATCCACAGATGGCAGTGTTAGGTGATGGTCCATAGGTAGTTGGGACTCTTGGTTGAGTGGCACACTTGCTGTAGTGCCTGTGGATGATTCCTGAGTGTGACTGAAATACACAATGTCATCTATTGCAGCCTCTGATACTGTATGGAGTAAAGATATAGTCAGTAATATATAGTGAATACAACATGAATATCAATAAATTTTCAATCTATTTTTAATAATTAATAATACAGTACCAAACTATATTGACATATAACACTAATGTAAAGCTTTGGACAGTCTTTAATACTGTGAACATAATCCACTATGCATATCAATTAAATTAGGATATATAACCATGTATTCACTAATCTTGAATTTACAGACACAACCTGAGCAAAATACACTTGACATATGAGCTTGTTGTAAGATGTCTTTTGCTGGAAAATTGTGCTTGGTTCTCACACCATCTACGTGTACAGATCCTTCATCCATTTTACCTTAGTGCAATTAATGTTCTTTAGAATATTAATAAAATAATTGGATATTTTCCAAACATATTAACAGTTTAATCTTCATACGTTGTACAGTTAGGTCATCTACAAGTTGTCTTACATTTTAATAAGTCAATCCATATGCATACAATCCACTCACCAAAATCAAAGTCATGGAAGATAAAGGATCTGTCCCCCTTAATGGACCACAGGAGATAGTAGAGACAATCACCTCGTAAAGACCCCCCTCACCCCCGCCTCTCTCCCACATCCTCCGTGAACATGATTAGTTTAGGTTACGTAGGTTTGGCTACTTATGGTATGGTTGGGTCGGGTCGGGTCGGGTCGGGTCGGGTCGGGTTTTGCATGCCACAGTTGACATAGATTATTTATCATTACTTCATGAGTTACCATGACTGCAGGTTCCACATGAGCTACTTCCATCATCCTTTTAATCTAAATTTGTCCACTTATAAACATACTAGTCGTTCGGGCGGTTGGTCTGTGTCACACTGGACAACACGCTTCTCACAACTGTCCCAGGCTTGGACTCGAACCCACGACATAATATTGAGAGATACAGCTCCCATACCAGCCATGTACAGTATTTACAACAAGATTCTACAGAAATTACAATTAATGAATAATACAATGTCGTAACGTGACTCGGAAGTATGTAACGGGTTGGGGCGGGCCACTGATAGGATAATGACGTCCTTCCCTAATGGTGCATTTGGTGGTGGTCGTGGGCATGATGAGAGGAGGGGGGGGGGTCAGTATGGTGTGGTGGAGGTAGTGACAAGTGAAGGAGTGGGACCATCAGTCAGTCAGATACGGTGTTCACTTCAGGAAGCATCTGTGTGGCAGCAGTTTTTTGTCTGGAGACTCGCGTAAGTCTTTTTTACATTAACTTACAGACCCAGACACAAGGCAGGATACTACGAGTGGTCTTAACTGATCCTGGTGGGGTTAGGTGACTTTCTATGGAATATACGGATATATGAAAAGGCTGCATATGTCTGGGTAAGTGATAAGCTGTGTATACTGGTAGGTGTGTGTATTAGTGCTTATATATGAATGATAGGCGGTAAAATTTTTAACCTTAGCACATGTGACAGGATACGTTAAGAACAAACAAATTTTCAGACATTATAATTCACTTTCTGCCAGGCTTAGGAAACATGAAGATGATGATGGTGACGATGAAGATGATGATGGTGACGATGATGATGATGGTGACGATGATGGTAGAGGCGGCCTCACGTGAAACAGAGGAATCAGAGGCGCGTTACATTTACATCAACACCGACTCTCCCTTAACTATCGGTAAGAAACACTGAACATTTATTACCCTTATTAACTTATTTTGTTAGCCACTGTAAACATGTTGTCTCCACCCACAAGGATCACTTACCTCTATTTCCTCCTGATCCTCCTCTTCCACCCCTAACTTCCCTGATCTTCCTCTTCCACCCCTAACTTCCCTGATCCTCCTCTTCCACCCCTAACTTCCCTGATCCTCCTCTTCCACCCCTAACTTCCCTGATCCTCCTCTTCCACCCCTAACTTCCCTGATCCTCCTTTTCCACCCCTAACTTCCCTGATCCTCCTCTTCCACCCCTAACTTCCCTGATCCTCCTCTTCCACCCCTAACTTCCCTGATCCTCCTCTTCCACCCTTAACTTCCCTGATCCTCCTCTTCCACCCCTAACTTCCCTGATCCTCCTCTTCCACCCTTAACTTCCCTGATCCTCCTCTTCCACCCCTAACTTCCCTGATCCTCCTTTTCCACCCCTAACTTCCCTGATCCTCCTCTTCCACCCCTAACTTCCCTGATCCTCCTCTTCCACCCCTAACTTCCCTGATCCTCCTCTTCCACCCTTAACTTCCCTGATCCTCCTCTTCCACCCCTAACTTCCCTGATCCTCCTCTTCCACCCTTAACTTCCCTGATCCTCCTCTTCCACCCCTAACTTCCCTACAGCATACTATCACCAGCTCCAGGATATCACCAGATAGTGGTCTCTGAAAGGGTCATTAGTCATCTCCTTTCTCCCTCCCTTCCATTTCCCACCACTTCCTTATCTTCTCATTATCAATCTGTCCCTAACCCTTTCTCTTCTCCCTATTCATTTTCTATTCTCCTTTCTCTCAACTATTTACCCCTTTCTCCATCACATGATTCTTAATTGTTTTAGAACACCACAGAACACTTATAATGTACATGCTAAATACAATCTATTTTCTCTCCCCCTCCTTCCCTCCCTCCCTCTCAGCCGCCCTACTCAATGTCCCCCTCTCCCTGGCATTACCTCTCCTCGCCCGCCGCCGCCACTACAGTAGAGAACGAAGCTACCATCACGACCCGAATCTGGAATCTGAACTTCACAATCACGTCACTCCTGAACTGCCGCTGTACGATGACCCCCATTACACCGCTGAGGTGGACAAGCTCAAGTCCTACTTTAAATTCCTTCAGGTGAGTGAGTGAGTGAGCGAGTGATGATGTGAACGTAAGACCTCGAGTGTTCAGATCATTTACAATCCACTTCCCGACAAAACCAAGGAAGAAATGGATCACCTTAAGAATCTCTACCCCAGCTTAATTAACCTAAAGATTTACCACTATTTTAGGGAGGGGTGATTTTAAGTTAAGGTTAGTGTTAGTGTGGTTAATCTTCAGGTGAAATAAGCTGGGATGGATATTTTTTAGGTTATCCGAAGAAACTGAACGTCAGTCTCATAACCGCGGGAGGCTGTCAGCACTTATCTTCACTGGCTCAGACTTTAACGAGAATATCCTCATAAATTTAACGAATTGAAGCGCCAATTACTCAGCGACCCGCATATAACGTTGTAGGGGCGAACTGCGAGGTCTGAACATTTTAAAGGTTTCGAAATATCTGCCGACTTTCAGATCTTTCGTAAAATTGAGGACAATCTTGATTAATTATTTTGTCAGCATAAATGTATGTTATTTAGTATATAGTATACATACAAACTAAACCTGCATCCTGTGTCGCAGATATTAAATGTTTTGCCACAGATCCTGGTGATGTCAGCTCCCGGATGCAGATATGATCAGGATGTGACAATTATTTCCAGACTGTAAACTGTATCGTGAGCACCGAG